TGACAGTGTCTCAAGCTGTCACCCTGGGTTGACTGCCATGGAGTCACAATTCACAGCAACCTCAAATTCTTAGGCTTAAGTGATTCTCTTGTCTCAGCCTCTCAAGTAGCTGGAACTACAGGTGTCTGTCACAATGCCTGGCCATTTTTTGTTATTGTTGTTGTAATTGTCATTAATGTTTGGCAGGCCTGGGCTGGGTTCAAACTTGCCAGTAGCCACTGAGCTACAGGTGCTGAGCCCTAACATTTATTTCTTTAGAGTTCTTTCACTTATATTTCTTGCACTCACTTGTAAATTTTACATAAATGCAAAAATTAGAAAAATCTGGAACACTTATTGCAAATATTACACATTTTGAAAAATAATACAAGAAAGAAGAATACACAAACATCATTTCGCCATGAAACCTCATAAATTTCAAAGCACTGAAAACCTACCACAGAAACTCAGAAGAAAAGATGAAAACACTGACACTTCATTTGCAATTACAATTTCCCCCAAACTTCATAAAGATTCCCCAAAAGGAGCATGTGTTTTTACTAAGGATGGACTTGCAAATGCTAGCCAATTTAGCTATTCATAAACAGGAATAAAAAGATTAAACTCTAAATGTTTTATTTTGTACATGCCTATAGTCAATCATGTGAGCGTTCAATAAAACCTATACAACATTAAGAACTCAAAAGTTCAAATGGAAGCATAAAAAAATGAACATTAGGGCAGCGCCTGTGGCTCAAAGGAGTAGGGCGCCGGCCCCATATGCCAGAGGTGGTGGGTTCAAACACAGCCCCGGCCAAAAAATGCAAAAAAAAAAAAAAAGAACATTAAGGTCCATTTTATATGAAAATAGCGCCTCATTCCTGATAACACTGAAGTAGCATGCATTCATACATTCTACAAACATTCCTTAAGTATATTCTTCACTAGATCAGACACTGGTGCTAAGATGAGAAATATAACCAGATTTCACCAAAAAAAGGTAGAACTTCTTGTGATTCACCTCTCAACTTAAAAGTTATAACATTATCATTAATAGGGTACTAAAGATAAATTTTTTGTTTCTTGTTAAAGATAAACTTTTTGACCCAAGAAAAGGAACTGAATACCACCTTGAGCCTTTGAAACTGCTGCTGTCCCTGCACTGGTGCAACTGGTGGGGCTGGATGAGCATGACTCTGGACCACCTGACCTCCATGGGGCTGCACAGCTGTTGGGTGATGATGGCTGCTATGAACTGCTGCAATGGTGGGCCCATGACTACCAGAGCTCTGTGGCACAGCTGAAACCTGGGGTGGACAAAATGCAGACAAGAAACATCAAGGCTTATGCATTCTTTCCCAAATGTGTCTGGAGGAATAACAAACGCACAAAGCATGCATGTGTATCTTTGTATGCACAAAGATAATTAATTATAAACCCAAATCTCCCACAAAAGAAAACTGGTAAAATAAATTATACCTCATTTATCTTACAAAAGAATTCTTTGTAGCTATTAAAAAATGATATAGCTGGCGACATCCCTTGTTTAGTGGGTAGAACACCGGCCTCATACACCAAGGCTGGCAGGTTCAAACTCTGTCCCAGCCAGCTGACAATGACAACTGCAACAACAAAAAAAGAGCCCAGCATTGTAGCAGGCGCCTGTAGTCCCAGCTCTCTTTTTTTTTTTTTTTTTTTTGTGACAGTGTCTCAAGCTGTC